GGAACTTGTCGTGTATTTGTATCTGATTCTTTGCTGTTCAGCAGATCAGAAGTGAACCTCATGTATACACAGCTGACTAGCTGGGGGGGAAAGCTGTCTCAAGGTTTTATAAGGATGTTTCCACTGTGCTTTCCACTATGATAAATGACAATGATAAATTACTTCCCACCCACCCACATTACCCTTAATTTTTATTTTATTTTTAAAAGAACTATGCAATTACCGGTATATATTCCCACTATGCTGACTAACTTCAGGTTAGGTTTTCACCACTGACAATACTAAAAGAAAAGTGTGTCTGTCTATATTTTCTCTGGAAAAAAATATTTGCTTTTTTACTATACAGATATATAGCCCATGCATACTTACTATCCCAGGTGGTTTATGATAATTAAAATCACAACAGTAAAATACAGCAACAGTAACATCCAAGGCTACAAACCCAGCCTGCTTTATGGAGGCAGCGGTAAAAACACCTCAGGAAACCCTCACTGGATTCAGAAAATCTAACTAATTACTGGCCAGTTGCCAGTCTCACCTTCTTAGGCAATGTTCTTGAATGGGTAATTGCAGATGAGATCTAGGGGCTCTTGGAGGAAACTGATTTTCTAGATCCATTTCAATTGGTTTTGTTTAATTTTCCCTAGATCCCCAGTAGTAAATGTTGAAATCTTACTGGGAAACAAGGGACAGTTATTCTCACCTCCCCGCCCCACCCCCGGTGATGTTTTAGTTTCCAAATAGACATGACATAGGTTTCTAATTATCAGGGTACGTTGATCTCTTGACTTTCTCTGGAATGGTGAAAAATGAGTATAACACTGCAGTCGTGCTACTTTATTAGCACCACAGCTAATGGTGCCATTTATAATTTAATTGTTTACTATCCTGGCACTGTAGAATGCATAATCTTTTGAATAATTATTTGGAACCATTTCAATCACAGGCAAAAAATTAGCAGTTAATCATCTGCCCTGATTTCTGCTTTCTCTTCCATACATCATCAATATCCGTGATATTTCCTTAATAGTCTTACGTTGTTTAACTTGTTTTTTGCTGCTCTCTTTTTGAGTGGCTGGAGCAGGAAGAGTTATTTGTTATTTTTGTAAAGTTCAGAGAAGCTGAAAGAAGACTGCTCTTTCACTAAACCTCTGCAGGCAGTTTTGGTTAATTCAGGTGGATAATGTGGTTAGTTCTATACCTCTCAGATGACTGGGGTGCAGCTGTAATCATCTGAAGTTGCCCTGAACCTCCTTCCTTGCTAAGGCTGCCATTGCCACTATTGCTCACTATAAATAGTTAAAACAAAAACAAAACAATAATAGTGAACAATAATGATGTTCAGGTGTAAGTGCTGATTATTATATGCCTAAAACTGCACCTCACACACCTGAGCGGGAAGTGTCAACAGGCTATGGGAACTCTAAGGTTTGTAGAAGTATGGAAAAAAAATGGGGGGGGGGCTAAGGAGACACCTCCACCCCTAAATCAGTCCAACAAGAACTGAAAATGCTCGGCAGCCTCAGAAAGAAAAATGTTTAATTATTTTTATTTTTATTTTCAAAACTCCAAAAATGAAAAGGAATGTAATGTAGTGTCCTATAACAGGAGCACACTATGCTGCAACCTTTTGTTGTAGGTTCCACTTGTAGTGCAACTTCAAATGACTAACTAGTTTGAGGGTCAATATGATTTAATGAGATAAATAGATAATTCTGTAAGATACTTATAATAACCAATTTGTATGTCTTTTACTGAATCTGACAACTTGAGCCAGGGCTTTTTTCAGTTAGAATATCCATCTGTTAACAAGAAAAAAGATTAATATCTTATTTCTGAAAGATCAGAGAATTGCTTTTTATCAATAATACTTTATGTGCTGTCTCCTTTATTCTGAATTTGAATCAGTGACCCATCACTTAATATGAACAAATGCAGCTGTCAAGTGTAAAAACTAGCACAAAAGGAAACTGTTGAGCCCCACAAGCAGCACTCTTTATTTTATTCAGAGAGAAGGCTGGTGTGTGTGTGTGTGTGTGTGTGTGTGTGTGTGTGTGTGTGTATGTGTGTGTTTGCATACTGATTATTTGGGAAGGGGGGGGGGGACTAATGCAAGAGCAAGTGTTATCACGTGCCAGTGACTGACTTGAATAGGAAGGCATGCAAACACAGCAGAGACACACAGGTAGCAATACTGTAAAGATATGAAACCACACATTTACAGATGCAGTGTATGAGCATGCAAGACATTGTTTTAAACATCAATATTATGTGCTTTTTGAAGAGAAGGATGCAAAAAGCAAGAATTTTTTTTAGGTGCAGTGACCTTTCAAAATCCAACTGAGTACCTCTCGGGCAAAAATATATATATGGATTGCTCCACTTCCAAATGTCATTCCCCTATTGTAATATTACACTGCAGTACCACTACCATTAGGGACGCGGGTGGCGCTGTGGGTTAAACCACAGAGCCTAGGACTTGCCGATCAGGAGGTCAGCGGTTCGAATCCCCACAACGGGGTGAGCTCCTGTTGCTCGGTCCCTGCTCCTGCCAACCTAGCAGTTCGAAAGCACGTGAAAGTGCAAGTAGATAAATAGGTACCGCTCCGGCGGGAAGGTAAACGGCGTTTCCGTGCACTGCTCTGGTTCGCCAGAAGCGGCTTAGTCATGCTGGCCACATGACCCGGAAGCTGTACGCCAGCTCCCTCGGCCAATAAAGCGAGATGAGCGCCACAACCCCAGAGTCGGCCACAACTGGACCTAATGGTCAGGGGTCCCTTTACCTTTTTACCACTGCCATTGGGCAATACATGAGATGCACTGCATTTAAGGCCTCCTTGTTTCCTGTACAACAAGCCTAATTGCCATTGAATTGTTTAATCTATGCAACCTTCAAGACTCAAGTCATGCAATTTGCATGTACCGGGCCATTAAGAAACAACTGATTGTGCAGATGCTGTCCTCCCCACCCCCCACCCCTGGCAAGCTGTGTGTTAGTTAGCAGAAGAAATAGCAGAGTTGGGTGGTGGAGGTTATAGGAGGTGTTATGTCACACGGGAAAAATGTGTCCATTTTGAAAAAACAGAGGTCGGGGAGGGGGGGAGCAGATAGATGGGAAAGAGTTGTTTGGAGCAAGGGTTCTTGGGAAGAAGGGCGGAGCCAGCACTCCAGGCATAGGCCGTGCAGGGCAGAGATGTCTGGGAATCAAATACTGGGCTGCTGTGAAGGACAGGATCCTCCTGAGATGTGAATGCTGTGAAATCTCTCTCTTTTGAAAGCTTCCAGTGTACATATGTGTAAATAAATCATATTTCAAAGATGCTGCAGACACCGCCACACCTCATTTTCCCCAAAGGAACACCCTGGTTGAGTGTCAATACCCCTTGGTATCTTGTGCACTGCTCAGCAGAGGTTGGGGTGGCCAGTAACAATATTTTACCTTTGTGGCATTTGAGAAAGCTTACAAAAAACTATTTACAAAAAGACAAAACAAAAAACAAAAAACAAAGCATACTTAAATTAGTACAGAAGACCCAGCTAGATCCCAAAACCCCTTGCAAGCAGACTGACACCTCACTTCTTTAGGAAGACTAATAATGAGGAGCACTGATGAATTTCTTCTGGTACCAAAGCTACAGACCCAGAACTGTAAAGGTCCGGCTCTTTGCAGAACTTTAAAGTTACTCTGGAAGGTGAGAACAAGGTTTTAACATGCAGCAGTTAAAGAGAAATGGTTCTGTCAGAACTGACAAATTTTTCGAGAGTATTTCAGGTTGCATTTTTGAAGTTGAATGCTTAACATTATCATTGTTTCCATACGGTTGCCATTCCTTCTTACCAGCTGCATATTCAGAGTTGCAACAAATAAGCCAAGTTGTCTTTAGACAGAATAGACAGATGTTCCAGCCAGTTTCAGAGGCAATAGCAATAATGTAAATGTGTTAGTCAATAATGTTTCTTAAATAAGCTCTCTGCACTTCAAGGAATTGCATGTGTTTATCTAGAACTAGCAGAAATGCCTCCAAATGCTAACTGGTGACCTCCCTGTCAGAGCGAAGGAATATCAAGCTAATTACAATTATGACTGCCATTCAGTTATTTATGCATTAATGAGCGAGTGAAATTACAATGAAGTCACTTGTTAGCATTCTAAGTGGCATTGTGCACAAAGTCATTGCCTACAGAAGATGCATAATTGCCATCAGTTGAAACATCTATGGGGTGGAGGTGGGAAGGGATAAAACAAGTACAAAATTACTAACAAATATACTGCCAATTTCTCTTCAGAATTTCTCATTTCAGGATGACAATAGTTCTGGCCTCACCACCACTCCAGTTTAATGAGGAAAGAGAGTTGCTGTTAAATATCAGACACAAAACAACATCTTGAGAAGGAGGTGGATGAGAAGGGAGATGCTGTGAGGAATAATAGGTGTAACAGCACTGGCTGGCTATACACGTTAACAGTTTCTAGCCTGTTTGCCCTAAGTATGTGCAAAAAGAAGGGCATGTGAACAATGAAAAAATAAGTGAGACTCTGCATCTTTATCACAGCAACACTTCTATTCTCCTTTAGCTCATCTACTAGAGTCATCTAAGTCTTTTTTAATGCATTTTTTTCCTAATTTGCATAGGAAATGTAACAGTTTCAATTGCAGAAGCTTTTGAGAACTGAAGGAGGGTGGGTGCAGAATCTATTGACTGAACTTCCAAAACACAGATTCTGCAAACTGTCATATATCTAAACCACTTACTGTAAAACACAGTTGTTGACATATGAAACATGAATTTATATAGCATGCCATGATACACTCACTGTTCAAAGACTACCTTAGAAAGAACAAACGTTCCTCAAAAATGTGTAGACCTGGAGAGTTTTTGTTTATTTTTACAGATACGAGCACTCCACAAAAACTGCTGACTGACCAAATTGCGTCTGGACTGAATATCAGTATTTGTCAACATTATGACTTCAGGATTAAACTCCAAAATATCCTTACTTTTGACGGTGGCTGTCCGGGTACAGTTGTAAAGGATAGCGAGTTCCCCAAATACCTTGCCAGGTCCCATGGTGCACAGTTTCACACCTTCCTTTGTCACTTCAACCTTTCCATCTGTGAACAAAGAACAGTTCCACATCACAAAGTTTTTATATCATTTAGAATTTGTTCTGCATAACATTTCATGAGCATGAACTGCTGTAACAGGAGTGGGGAATTTGTGGCCCTTCAGATGCTGCTTCCATCATTCCTGACTATTGACCATGCTGGCTGGGCATGATGGGAGTTGGAGTCCAACAACATCTATATGATCACAGCTTCCCCATCCCTACCCTCTCACATTGCATAGATGGTGAAGAAATCAATGTGGCAATGATGCCATGCTTTACAGTGTAAGTATGCTTTGTTTTCCATTTGTTTAATATTTCAATCTGTAGTTGAGGGAGGCACTTCCACATACATATACATTCTACATATCCAGAAATGATCCTCAAATGACATAAAACCAAAAGCGGATAAGCTTTGAAGATTGGGAAACTGTGCATTAAACAACAAGCAAACTTAGACACTAATTCTTAAAGTTGCAAAATTCTTAGGGAGACCAGACTGAATGGTAACAGTTCATGATGAAAGGGAGCCAAACAAGGCTGATATCTCAGCCTCGCTGATTGAGTGACCCTGCAATCCCAACTCTCCCTCTGCTGTTGCAATGGTGAATGGCAGCTGAAAAGTGAAAGTTGAGGGAGTGGAGTCAAGTGCAGCTAGACTGAGCAGAACCAGCCAAGCTGTCCCTTTTTCTACTGTTTCTTAAGAGCAGCCTTTCCACCAGGCTGCAGCAGAGCCTGCAGCACTTTCTCAGCAGAGTCCGTGGAATGGGCCCTAGTTCCCACCCCACTCCCTAAATAAACATATTCCTTGGCTGCCAAAGATGTAGACTCATAGTGTAAGAATCTGGATACATCATTTGGGAATTACTTTTTACTAATTCCAGGGACTGTAGTAAATAAAACAGACATCGAAAAAGTCTAGCCTCCCACTTTTTTTCTGAACTTGAAAAGATTGGACACTGACGTCTTCCCAGAAAGCACAAAACTCACATATGTTTTAGTTAAATGTCATGATACACAGTTCAGCAAGCCCTCTTCTTATAAAGCAATCTAAGCAACTAATTTTGGTCATTTTAAAAGGGGGAAAATCCTAATCCTTGTGAACATTCATCCATGAAGAAAGAAGCCGTTCTCAAAAGAAGTTATTTTGACCCATTTCCATTGCATAGTTTGCATTTTACATTGTATTTGCATTCAAAACAATTAAACTAATTTTATCATGTCTTTAAATTAAATTAAACTAATTTTATCAAGTCTAAAATGAGGCATTTCATATCTAGAGGCAGAAAGACGCCATGGCCAATCTGTCGACTTCAAAGTGGCATGATACACCAATGTATTTGTATGCCTTAGGTTTGACTACCAAAAATGCAAGTTCCTTAGAGCCCACTTAATGTGGAGTTGCCCAATCACCACTACTTTCTGAGCAAAAATATTTTTTTGAGTAAATATGTTCTGCAGTTCTTCATAATTGAGGGAATTAATGTTACATCTGTGTCAACTTCAAAGACCTGTGACCTCCCAACCAACCAGCAAGTCTGGCTTTTCAGGCATTTACTAAATATATAATTATCCACCACTGCAAGAGCAAATCTATACCAATCACAAGAAATTGGTGGCAGATATATTGCAACAGCCAGCCATGGAACATTTCCATCTTTACAAAATTGAGTAACCCAGGTAAATTCAAATACACTGGGAGATCATTTCTGAAGCTATATGTATTTTAGAGAGTCTCCAGACTGCACTTACAGAAACACTGTGTACACAAGGAAACACTTGAGTACATGCAGGACCACAAGGGCTCTTGGGTGATGCATCAATGTGCTTAATGGCAGCCACATGTTCAAAGGTCTTTCCACAAAATGCAAGGTAAGGATGCCCCTTATCAAGCACTGAATAGCACCAACCATTGCTTGCTGGAGAATTAATGTATGCAACCTCTGTCTTATGAATTTCCCAACCTCTATGTCTTACCAATATTATATAGCCTATATACCCCTATTTGGGCAGGGATAGCCTAACCTCTGTTGTCTACACTCTGCTGATCTCTAGGTTAGATTACTGCAATGCATTATACATGGGGTTGCCTTTGAAGATGGTTCGGAAACTGAAGCTGGTGTATAACTTGGTGGTCAGGTTCCACACCAGGGCAAGATTGTCTGAGCACATAACACAAATCCTGGCACAGCAGCTAGGCTACAAATTAGTTTTCAGGCCCAATTCAAAGTGCTGGACCATGTGCATCTCAGGATCCCAATACTTCAAAGATCACCTCTCTTCATATTAACTGACCCAGAACATCCAATCGTCATCTTAGGCCCTTCTCTGTGTGCCTCCCTCCATGGAAGGGTCCAGAGGCTGGCAACATGAGAACAGACCTTTTCAATGGTGGCTCCCTGTTTGTGGAATGCCCTCCTCAGGGAGACTCACCTGTCACCATCATTGCATATATTTCGGTACTAGGCAAAAACGTTTCTTTTCTGCCAGGCCTTTGGCTTTTGATTATCTGTAGCTTCCTTGAGTGAATGGGATTTTTTTAAAATCCTCCCTTTTAAAAATATGAACAATATATATATATAGAGAGAGAGAGTGTGTGTGTTTACATTGTAACATATGTGTTTAGTGTTGTAAGTCGCTTTGCACATTTGTAAGAAAAGCAACCAATAAGCTTAATTTGGGGGGGGGATAGCAATAACCCCATCAGTTATTCAGTATAGCAGCTGTCTCCCCGCCCTGCATAGATTCACTAGGCAGTGTACATTCAAATTATCTGGGCACACTAAGTCTATGCACAATTTGTCTGTCCATAGCAATTGTTCCTGTAGTGAGAGCCTGTCGCTTGAAGGCAGGGCTTACTGCGTGCACACACATACACATGCTTCATGTAAAGAATGTCTGAAGATCTCTATAGGAAACTGATCAACTTTTTGATGATTAGATATGCATATTTCTACAGTTAACAGTAATTTGAAAGCACTCCAGTTACAATAGTAAGTACCCTGATCTCTTTAAAAATATGCCTGAGGGTAAAATAATCCTGCATTTTTAATATATATAAATCAAAATCCTTGTTACAGTGGTACCCCGCAAGACGAACGCCTCGCAAGACGGAAAACCCGCTAGACGAAAGGTTTTTCCGTTTTGGAGACGCTTCGCAAAACGAATTTCCCTATGGGCTTCCTTCGCAAGACGAAAGCCCATAGGGAAATCTCCGGGACAGGGCGTCTTGCCCACTGTCCTCGGACCTCCTCCCGCCGCCAGGCTTCGGAAGGCTGCTCTGAAGCCTGGCGGGGGGCGGAGAGGTTTTTTAAAAACCCCGGGACAGCGGAGGACTTCTCTGCTGTCCGGGGCGATTTTAAAATGCTGCCGGGCGGCAGCGCTGCCGCCCAGCAGCATTTAAAAAAACCCCGGGACAGCGGGGGACTTCTCCTTTGTCCCGAGGTTTTTTAAAATGCTGGCGGGCGGCAGCGAAGGGTTCGCTGCCGCCCGCCAGCATTTTAAATTCGCCCCGGACAGCGGAGAAGTCCCCCGCTGTCCCGAGGTTTTTTAAAATGCTGGCGTCTTCCCCTTTCTCCCCGGACCCCTTTTGAAGCAAGGGGTGGCAACGGGGAGAAGCGATCTTCTCCCCGTTGCCGCCCCTTGCTTCAAAAGAGGGGACAGAGGGAAAGGCGCGCGCCTTCCTCTCTCTCCCCCCGGACCCCTTTTGAAGCAAGGGGCGGCAAAGGGGAGAAGCGATCTTCTCCCCGTTGCCGCCCCTTGCTTCAAAAGAGGGGACAGAGGGAAAGGCGCGCGCCTTCCTCTCTCTCCCCCGGACCCCTTTTGAAGCAAGGGGCGGCAAAGGGGAGAAGCGATCTTCTCCCCGTTGCCGCCCCTTGCTTCAAAAGAGGGGACAGAGGGAAAGGCGCGCGCCTTCCTCTCTCTCCCCCCGGACCCCTTTTGAAGCAAGGGGCGGCAAAGGGGAGAAGCGATCTTCTCCCCTACGCCCCTTGCTTCAAAAGAGGGGAAGGCTGGCGGGGGGCGAAAATCTTTGTCCCCCCTGGCTGCCTTCCCGGGAGGGCTTTTAAATCACCCCGGACAGCGGAGAAGTCCTCCGCTGTCCGGGGCGATTTTAAAATGCTGCCGTGGGGGGGGGGAGCAAAGACTTTCACCCCCCCAGCCTTCTGAAGGCTGGCGGGGGGCGAAAATCTTTGTCCCCCCTGCCTGCCTGCCTGCCTGCCTTTAAAAGCCCTCCTGGGGGAGCGGAGAAACGCGCTGCGTTTCTCCGCTCTCCCGGGAGGGCTTTTAAAAGCAGGCAGGCAGGGGGGACAAAGATTTTCGCCCCCCGCCAGCCTTCAGAACAGGTCCTGGACCTCTTCTGAAGGCTGGCGGGGGGCGAAAATCTTTGTCCCCCCTGGCTGCCTTCCCGGGAGGGCTTTTAAATCACCCCGGACAGCGGAGAAGTCCTCCGCTGTCCGGGGCGATTTTAAAATGCTGCCGTGGGGGGGGGGGGAGCAAAGACTTTCACCCCCCCAGCCTTCTGAAGGCTGGCGGGGGGCGAAAATCTTTGTCCCCCCTGCCTGCCTGCCTGCCTGCCTTTAAAAGCCCTCCTGGGGGAGCGGAGAAACGCGCTGCGTTTCTCCGCTCTCCCGGGAGGGCTTTTAAAAGCAGGCAGGCAGGGGGGACAAAGATTTTCGCCCCCCGCCAGCCTTCAGAACAGGTCCTGGACCTCTTCTGAAGGCTGGCGGGGGGCGAAAATCTTTGTCCCCCCTGGCTGCCTTCCCGGGAGGGCTTTTAAATCGCCCCGGACAGCGGAGAAGTCCTCCGCTGTCCGGGGCGATTTTAAAATGCTGCCGTGGGGGGGGGGAGCAAAGACTTTCGCCCCCCCCCCAGCCTTCAGAAGAGGTCGGGGGACAGATTGTCCCCGGACCTGGTCTGAAGTCGGTTTCCATAGGAACTCATTAATTGATTTTCAATGCATTCCTATGGGAAACCGTGCATCGCAAGACGAAAAACTCGCAAGAAGAA